CTAAGATAATGCTCCTAACCATTAAAAAAGATTGCGCTCATACCAATCAAAAAAGTTTGGTTGTTTATGAATTTTCGTGCCAATGTGAAGACCGGTATGTAGAAGGCAATAGTCAGCGATTGGTCAATAGAATATAACAGCATGTTCCTGCGAGCATCAAACGAAATGTGGTCCCGAAAACGTATCGCAACAGCGTGTTTACAAAAATCAGAATGCCCACGTAAATTGTGATTCGATCATTGGTCAACATTTGCTCGAGAAGCTTGCATGCGCCAGAACCTAAAGTGACGGCAATTTTGAAACCTTTGGACAACAGAGGTCGTATTTTTATTTAGGCGTTTTGAAATCTGCCAGTATCAAGCAAAAAATCCTGACTTGTGTCAATGAAATAATTTGTTGTCTCTCTTAGACTCTTCAACTGGGTTAGATGTTAGTGGTTGCCGATTGGACACAAGCAGTAGCCAATCAAATACCCCATTCTCCCTCTTAAGTTACTTTAGGTCAATGGGTTTCCGCTTCTGTTTTCGGCCTTTATCCTCTGTTATATTAGGTGAAGTTTAACTTTTTCTACCTTTCCATGCTATCTTCAATCTTTATTTTTCTGCTAAGAGGTGGTTAGAATGTGAACGAAGATTTTCGCAAGTCCCCGACTGAACCACATCGAAAGTGGATACATTTGAATTTTGTAGTATTACCGTACGAAGAAAGGCTATATGTGTGCTTGTACAAAACCGTATTATGAAGGTAATCCAGTTGGGTGTTGTATGCACAAAAAAGCACAAAAATCTACATCTCCTTCAGTGCTTGGCAGTGCAGTAAGGTATCTCCAAGATATGAATATCACGAGGGATTTTGTAGAATTTGATTTTAATAGGGGCTCTTACTTTAGCTGAATTGTTTAATTCCTGTTTGGATGTCATTTATCATGCTTTCGTTCTTGTATAATGCTCTTATGTGCTGCTTTGATGCCTTTGGGAATAATAGAGAAGTAGGAGTTTTGTATTTTGGGATTCTGCACGGAAATGTTGGTCCTTTGACACAGACGAGTATATTTAATTGCTTTTGGTCGAGCTTATAGCACTTGTTCCCCCGTCCCTCCCTCCTCTTTTGATATCAAGCATAGTGTGATTCTTCGAATCCTTGCTAATTCTTGCAAGGGTTAGAAGCTATTACCATTACAAGATTCTTTTCAAGATTTCTGTTGCTTTTTCGTTGAGGATAGACTCAGCTATTTATTCAGTTATGATTTCTTAAGTAGTGTTGCATTAAATGCTTCACTCTACTGATTCGAAAGAGGTTTCAGAAGTGAACCGAATTTCTCAAGAAAAAGACCATATCGTTTTCGTACATTTTTAATTTTCTGCTGAATTCTACATACAATTGTTACGTGACTCTACGTTGCTCGTCCCTTACCTACGCTTCCAGTCCAGCGACTCTATTCCAACTCTCCTTTAGTGTTTCTATTTAAATCTTTTATACGAAATTACTCCCTTTATCTAATAATACTGATTAATATACCAATCTTCTTAGCTTACGGTTTTTTCTGCGATTTAACCATATGCCTGTGCATCATGCAGGATGCTGTGTGCATTTATGGTTCCTAATTGTCTGTTTCCACGAGTCTCTTAAATTTACTGTATCTCTAAGTATCTAATTTGGTTCCTTAAACAAACGAAATAATAAATTTATACATACTTATAATTTACTAATTTCCCACAAAACATGTGTGAGCATGTCTCCAGCACAAGAAGCACTGGTGCATCGGCTCCCTGCTGAGGAAAAGAAAACTTTTCTTGTCCGTTCTCTGCCAGAACTTTAATTTGCTTGTACTTGAGTCAATCAAGCAATATCTAAGGTTTAGATTTTTTTATAGATTAGGTGGAGCAACTTGTGCCGATGCACTAACGGTCCAACGTTGTTTCTTTTGATAAGGGAATATTGCCTCAAGACCTGATTGATGAGAGATGTGGAAATGACTTCAGGGGAAGCTATTTTTTTAAATAGAAGGAATTCTTTTGTTGATGTTTTTCTCCGAGTAAGAAACTAAAAATTTTATATACCCAAAATTGAAAATCATGAATGATTTGCCACAGGTTTATTTTCCAACTTGGTAGGCCTTTCAGTTTAAATAATTATAGGAAACGGAGACTTAGGATAGAATAACGAGGATCATTCACACAATGAAATTTTCTCAAAGAGTCAAAATAAACGCATCATTTTAACGCATACCAAGACTAGCCATTCAAAGACTCGTGGAAAAACGACATTCTCTTTAAGGATGACTCGTGTTGTAATCCAATCAAATCATCGTTATCAATCACATGTTATCCATCAAGGAAGTATTTCGCTCGACATAAGCAACGAGGACTCTTTCAAACATAATGACCCTGGACATTACATTGGGATGTGCAGTTGGATAAGAATGATAACGGGAAAAGAAACTAGTAGCAAATAAGAAACACTGTCGAGCAGCCTGCTACAGTGACCTTTTCTTCATTCACAAAAGAAACTAGCCCGCACGCAAAGAAACTAGGTGCAATAGACACAAGGCCGTCGAGAGATTTCGGAGGCTCTGGGGAGAAACGAGGCCTCCCGCGCGCAAAAAATGTCTACCACCACTTCCTTTATATCAGCTTAAGACCCCGTTTACACTGTGCCTGATAAAATTTATCAGCATCAAAATTAGTTCAGATAGGCGTCGCGTTTACACTAGACCCACGCTATCCGCACGAATTTGAGAGCGGCTATCCGAATAAAATGTTCACCTAGGAAAGTGGATTAAGTTAGTTCGGATAGCTATGAGGTACAGTGTAAACGCTTTTATCCGGATAAATTTTATCCACATCGTATCTTGCTCGAAAGCGATTGGCTGTTTCATCCAATTTAGTTTTCACTGTCTCCCAATCAAGACCTTTCGCAATCTTGGCTGCCTTATTGTCGATAAATACTATTGTTAAAAGTGCAGTATCTTGGCAGTCCGCGTAAAATTGGCATCCTTGCCAGCTTTTCCTACTTTCATTGCTAGTTCAGTGTCATTTTATTTCAAGAACAAACTATTAAAACAAACTAGTCCTTATTTGTATTGACAATATCTTTGGATTTGGTCTAAAAGAGAAGCAGATGATTCTGAAGAGAGTATGAAGTCTTTTTACGTTGGCGGGAATTTTGTTATTATTTTGTTGCCCAGAGAACTTCATTTTGAACATTTTAGAATATTTCGTATGTCATTTTCTTGCAATAATTAAACAAGTTTTACTGTTCTTTTTTTGAAAACGTTTAATACGTTTGATCATTTCTATTGATCATTACTAGACCTTGAGGCGATTCGCAACACAATTGCCAAATGTTTTTTTCAAGTTTTATCGCTTTCTGAACATTTTGCTTCCAAAGGATGTTTTGACTTGCGAAAAAAATTTAATTGAAATATAATTAGCAGACTCATACTAGTATTGTCGTTTTACGGTGTTTTCGTTGTAGATTAGATCATGAAACTCATAGCAGCAAAACTGTTTTATTTGAAATTCATTTCCCGTGATAAAACAACATTTATTAATTTTATGGAGATAAAACTGCACATTGCGAGTAAATATGCTTGAAACAGGTTCACAGTTTCCCATGAAAATGAATAGGCAAACTTGTTATTTGACTAACATAAAGAGTTTAAGCAAAATAAAGGATTTTTGATCAACTCCGAAAAAGGGAGATGCATCAATTCCATCAACGTTGTGGTAGCATCTATCGATTGCCAAAATAACAATAAAGCAATACTGGAATGCAAATTTGCAGAATTATCTTTAAAACGATTGCTATGTGTACAAAATTATATTCAAAAGAATTGAAAACGAAAGGGAAAAGGTATTTTAAGCGAACAAAAACCTTTTGATATGTTTGGCCATGTAGTTGGATAATTACAGAAAATTGAAATTGTGCAAAACGTCTTTATATCTGACATATTGCAGCTTCAACTCTGTAAAAAACAACGAGCTTTGCCTTAGTCCGACAAAACGAGATTTCTCTTCAACAACATTGGACTGAAAAGTATTTTCAACAAATCAATGCTAATTGGAGAACTCCTCCAGACTAGAAAACATTTATTTTGCCAGCAAAATCCACCTCTGTACATTTTCAACTAGGCGAGTTTAAGAAACTCCAAGACAAATTCATATAGTTTGAGAAATATGCTATTATCACATCCCAGTTTTATTAGATATGATCAGTTTGGTGATAAACGATAATTTAGTGGTCAAGTAATGCTATTCAAATCAAAAGGGTTCAGAAAACCTAAAAACAGTGAGACTTGAGAAGCTTTCTGGCATAAAACATTTCTAACTTTTGGAGACTGGGGGATACTTGTAAACTTTTTCTTGTAACAAAACTCTTTTGCATACTTGTATACAAATCTAATTCAACACGCGTCGCCCGGAAAATTCTATCAGTTTTTTCACTTGCATGGAAGTACAAGATACAGCCCATTTCGTCTTGCCGGTCGCTCAAGACCCGCTTTTTATGCCGGTCGCTCAAGACCCTGTAAGCTTTTTATGCCGATCGCTCAAGACCTATTAAGCCTTTTATGCCGGTCGCTCAAGACTCTTCAAGCTTTTTATGCCGGTCGCTCAAGACCCTTTAAGCTTTTTATGCCGATCGCTCAAGACCTATTAAGCCTTTTATGCCGGTCGCTCAAGACTCTTCAAGCTTTTTATGCCGGTCGCTCAAGAACTATTAAGCCTTTTATGCCGGTCGCTCAAGACCCTTTAAGCTTTTTATGCCGATCGCTCAAGACCTATTAAGCCTTTTATGCCGGTCGCTCAAGACTCTTCAAGCTTTTTATGCCGGTCGCTCAAGACTCTTCAAGCTTTTTATGCCGATCGCTCAAGACCTATTAAGCCTTTTATGCCGGTCGCTCAAGACTCTTCAAGCTTTTTATGCCGGTCGCTCAAGACCCTTCAAGCTTTTTAGCATACAGCTTTGAATAGAAAAAATACGCAAAAAAAAGACATTGATTTCTTCCATAAACTATAATTATATTCATCTCTAAATCTGCATAATACTTTGGACAAGAGGATATAATATAATATGAAATTATGCTTTAGTACACATACAATACTCCATGAAATATGATGCCTTTGAGAAGGCAATGACCTTACTTGAGAGTTTAACGGGTAAGAACAATAGCAAATGAAATGGGAAAATTTGTTTACTTAAAGTAGTGATGTTTGCAGCTCTATAAATATGCCATTAAATAGAGTGTCAATCAACAGCGCAGGGTCACAACATAATTTATTCCAATGCTACCAAAAAAGACATTCACAGACAGAAGTCAGCATCGCTATTTAAAGTGTACCAAAAGCAAATTTTGATATTATATCAAACTACATAAAATCAATAACTTCAGATTGCAATCAACAATTGATCATCTATTAAAATACCAGTACAGAATGTGCCCGATTGCACATTCAATACAGATATCAAATCTAGCAAACTTTATTCGGTAAACTACTGGGTATAAATAGAGCATTTATATATTCTTAAGGAAACCTAAAATATGCAACATAAATGTAGCATAATTAAGGAAAAAAAGAAACTAGATGTAGAGCTTAAAAAATCATGTGTGTGGGTGCATGATCAGGTTCCAATGACTCTCTTGATTCAGGTGTCTCCAGTCATTATCGCTATGAACTCTTCCTCGTTAACTATGAGAAAACAAAACAGTGTATACTACAATGTAACAAAAAGGTAGAAACATGCAGCTTGAGGACTTATATTAGGCCTATTATTTAGCATGCGCGGTGTGTTAGATAAAATGCAAAGGATACTTCTTTTATTTTAACTGCTTTTAAAGGCTCCCTATACTTTTTGAAACCTCTTTGAAGCCACTTTCCAGTATCACTTTTGCCCTCCTTTTTCTTGTTATTCCTCTTTAAGGCTTCCCTTTAAGTGGAGTATTTTCAACGGATTTTTAAGGCCTTTATGTAGGATGATTAAACGATATGACACAGGTCTATGTCTCTATCAACCGGAGGTCTTCAGCAAACGAAGCTCTAGTCATTTTCTTAGCTGCACTTACAAGAGATAAGAGAAGGGGCTAGTAGTTCATCCCTAGACATTCCTAACAATTTCCAACAGTGTCTTCTAACTTAAAACTTCCTATCTATACGCAGACATTGTCTCTATCTCAGACTTGCTTCTTTTTGCTGGCTTAGCGTGATAACACGTCCACTGGTCCCTCTCTCTCATTGGCTATTCATTGTGCTGCTTGTTGTGAATTTGCAAAGCTGCTTTAAGATTCAATCAACTCAAATATAAGGCACGCTCGCTGCATGGAATAGTAGTTGTGATTTTCTGGGTGTTTGACGGCATGGTACAGTGTTTACTCAAATGCTATACTTAATCGTTAATTGAAATAAGATTTGCTAAAGCAGCGGTTAGTAAATAAACATTAAAAGGTGACATTTCTCTGATGATACTCTAGAGTTTGAAATGTCTTTGTACCGGTCATATGAATATTCTAGGCGAATTTTTCTATGGGAAAGCTGGAATCAAATTCATTCAAACGTTGCCTCAATGCCACAGCCTAAACAGCTTACCCATAAAGCCTTGCTTCTTAGAGACCGTTTGATGCAAACCAAGATTTACATCTGCTGTTAGCAAAACTGTCAGAAATAAATCCATATCTGCGTGGATGCATTTTCAGCCTTAGGTTTTAAAAGTCGATTTAGACTTACTAGTATACGATCTTTATTCACGATTCTAGTGAGTGGAAAAGTTATAATTGAAGAGCTTTAAAAAATATTAAAAGTATATTGGGAGGATTTACTAGTTAAGAGGCTGTGAAGAGATTGCGATTCAAGTTTAATTGCACAACAAGTTAGGTTCTAAAATATAAAGCCTGTGAAAATAAATATTTCATTATGAAATAATTTGTTATAATACTCATATGGGCAAATTCTATAAAATACCTCTATAAGAGAATTTTTCTTTAATTTGAAAAAAACGAAATAACTAACTTTCTCCATCGCCATCTTTATCAAACTCATCAATCATTGCCCTGAGTTCTTCATCTGTCATATTTTCTCCAAGCTCTCTAGCCACCCTTCTTAGGTTTCGTATACTGATTTTCCCAGTCTGATCATCATCAAACAGTCGAAAAGATTTGTAGATTTCTTCTTGAGGATCTCTGTCAAGCATCCAGTCAGTCACTAGAAGATGCAAGGGGGCGATATTGTTTTTTTCTTGATATTCAATTTTTAAACACAATAGGTACCAGCCTGTTTGCATTCTAAAGGCATTCTAACAGGACATTGGGGTCTAGTGGTGCATTGCTGCAAAATGATCGTCGGCCCAAATGCGAAACTCGTCTCTCGCAGTACCTACCTTGTACAATATTTTAACATTCGAGGTTAGGTGGGCAAGGAAACATGATTTCCAATCACTGCTAAAAAACACTCTTTTATAATAGCTTAGAATTCATGTTTGCAAAATTCCCAAGACTTTTGCACAGTCATTAAAATATGCAATGTACTTTAGTTGAGAAATTTAATAGATATTCTAACTGCAGTTGTATTCATTTACCAAAGCATTTTGCAGATGCTTTACCATGGAAAGGGCCAATATGAAAAGGTCCACTCTATTTGGTTCAAAATCAAAGGTATGTTTCGGAGGTCCAGTATCACTTATTCAAATCACCTAAAGCCGAGACAGGGATTCCTTTTAAAAATAGCTTACTCTGATATTTCATTAATTAAAAAAATATGTCTTTTTCCTCAATTCACAGGAGATCGCCAGATTAAATTTCCTATGCAACCTGCTCACAAACCCTCTGGTCATTTGCTATTTGTTTTCGGTAGGTGATACCTCTGTATAAATTTTTATTAAAATCATTGCAATTGAAACGATTTCCTTTTTGGAAAAGTACACCAGAAATTTCAAAATGTAATACCAATGAACTTCTTTATATCTTTAGCACCCCCTACATATTATTAACAAGGGAATGGTAGAATCAACATTCTTTATTTTTTAAATGAATTGATTGCAAGTAGAGCTATTTTCTTTTTCGAGAAATTTAGGAGAGCAATCTTCAGCTCCCCATCCAGCATTTGCAGAACCCTGGATTGGAGCAAGAGATATGGCTTTCCTCAAATGGCCAGGCCTGTATGCAAAAAGCATTCTTAATGAAGCCAAGAAGTTTTACCAATACTTACTGACTTCTTGGAAATCTTCAAATGCTATTTTTCCACTAGCCTCTCTATCATAGTCTTTTAAGATCTTTAACACGTCAGGTTTCTTAACATCAAAGCCAAGGGCTCTCATTGCAACCTGAAAGGAACATAATGTGTTAACTGAAATAGCTGCAAGCTTTGACTTTTAACACAAAAAAGTATAGAGAGGTTAAAGGGCTATTCATGTTTGCCTTATTTCAAAAATAAAGCTATTGAAATTTGAAAAGCTATTGAGCCTATAAAACAAATTTTGTTTCTCACTTCCCTTTAAAATTTATCTCTATAGTTTTGGGTTGCCAAGCAAACCATTAACAATAAAATCAATGGCAAGCTTCAACAAGTTCAAAGAAATTTTAATGTAAAAGAAGAAAGCTTTAGGCTTTGTTCAAAAACACATATCAATAAAAAAAACCTCATAAATATAACATATTATAATACTGTCTTGAATTTTAGGTAGGTATAATGAAATTTCAGGCATTAAAGGGAGAAATATTCATATTTATAAAAGAGCTATACTACAGGACACATTTATTGCTTGACTGGATGTTTGTAAGAGAGGAAGAGCTTATCGTAAAACTAGGATGGGTGGAAAGCAACATCAGAACAGAGAAAAAAAATTGCCCAAGTGATTTGCATAAAACATGTGATGAAATATAAATTGAAGCAGATATTAGAAGAATATGGGATGTGTAACTTTTTTACACTGATTTGAAAGAGTTAACAAGGGAGGGTCATTCCATGTCAAAACAGCACATATTTTTCAAATTTGTAACCCACCACCTCAGATTTTGTTCATTTTTGGTACATATGAAGGTATGAACAAAATATAGAAAAACCCCAAATTTCAGCTCTATATCTTGATTGGTTCCTGAACTAGAGGATTTTCAAATCCGCACCTTGATAGGCATTAAATTTTCAGCGACGTCCTTTTTAACCGTACCGGTTTATGCATAAATGCCTCTAAAATTTGATAGAATAGTCATATATCCTTGAAAATTGATAACTAAGGGTAATCAAATGTGCTGATTTCAAAAATGCTAACAGTTTTTAGCTGTAGATAATAGAAAGCTAAAAATTTTGACCTTGAAGCATGACAAGTTGTTTCGCAAAATTTGCGAACCAGGGCTCAAAGAACCCCAAAAATGGAGATGTAGATGATATGATATGGAACTTTGGAGTTCATTTTCAAACTCAGTACACCTGAATCTATCAAAAAGGATTAAACCCTTTGTTTGTATATGAAAGAGTGCCAGAATATAATAACTGGAAATCAAATGTTCATTTTGGCAATTTTGGTTATGATTATGATGATTACCAAATTGCTTTTATAAGAAATTTCACACCAGGGGCTGTTTTTTTCTGGTTTTAACATTTTGAAATACCTTGTCTATAATGCTTTACATTATTTTTTGCTTCTGTATAGCTGGTAAAGTGATAAGAAATAATGCAGACTAGCTTTCCAGGAAACACATAAAGTTAAATCATAATTCAATGGTGCTTATTGGATTTCTATTTCATTGCCACCTTTTACAAAGCACACATCTTATAAACTGCTTGATTTTGGTTGTAATATATGTTAATTGATTTAAGAAATTTGTTGTAAATCCAAGACATGTTTTAAACAAGATCCTTACTTCTACACCCCTGCTTTATTCTGACTTAACTGTGTCTTAGAAATAAGGAGATTCTGTTTGTCAAGGGTGTGTTTTTCATGCAGGGTTTCTATTGAAAGTAGGTAAAGGTAAGATTTCCTTTCAAAGGAAGTTAAAGGAAATCGCTATCAATTCATCATTTAATCCATGTAAGGATAATGTTTTTCACACCTCTTTGCTAATCTTTTGAGGAAACAAAACAAGTTGACAGGAAATGACAAAATTTGTTTTTCTTGAATCCAGTTGATATAAATCACTCTTAAAGTTCCTTTCACTTCATTTACATCTATCTTCGTCTATGCTTTCCGTTTGAAAAACTGATCATGGAATCTGAAAAGTGTGACTTTGGTGTTTATTTGGAGGAAGACTGCCACAAACTTCATCACGTTCGTAACCCTGGAATCAAGCTTTTTAGCAGTATTGATTCAGAGGCACGAGATGTATTGCTGTGGAGATCAGGACTAAGAGATAACATCATCGATAGCATCTGCTTTCATCATGAGGCAAAGTTTGGTTCAGTGTTTGAAAAAAGATTCAACAAATGCTGTGATCCATTTAAGCTACACAAGAAGCAAGTAAAAGGTGGGCACAAAATCTCAACCGAAATTGCAAAAGATTTTATGGAAAAGGGAATACTATGTGTTCCAGGATGGCAATTATGTAGAAACTGCTACCAAAAACACTTCCACTTTTTAAAAGAAAATGCAAATGACTCAGACAATGAAATGGATTTCTCTGAAATTGAAAATGAAGTTGCACAAAGCTCTATTCGTTCCAAAATCAATGAGAGTTTTGAAGCCATTGGTGAATCTCCAATCAAAACTCATGGTATGCCAAAACACAGGCGCTTAACATATGCCAACCAAAAACTAGACAAAGCAGCAAAATTAGTTCAGCACCATGTTGCAACTGCGATAGGTGTATCAGCAAATGAGATTTCACTACCAGTTGGCGATGTTCCTGCAGAAATCGAACAAAAAGCCCAAGATTTAGACCACTTAATGGAAGAAGTAAAAAACCAAATGGCAGTGTCTACATTTCGAAGGAAGATACAGCTTTTGACACTGACTCCTAAATCATGGACTATAAACCATGCAGCTTCTTTTTTGATGTCTCACGCTACCTGGTTCAAAAAGCACTGAAATTCAAGGATGAAGAAGGAATTTGCTCAATGCCATCTGCTAAACAAGGCAAATCGCTGCCAGTTACTGTTTCAAACCAAGTAAAACGATTTTATGAAGACGATCAATTTTCAAGACTTCTTCCAGGGAAAAAAGACTATGTCAGTATTGCAAAAAATATACACATGCAAAAACGTCTGCTGTTGTGTAATTTGAAAGAATTATATCAACTATACAAAAGCAAATATCCAGGGTGCAAAGTGGGTTTCTCAAAGTTTTGCTCCTTGCGGCCAAAATGGTGTGTAAATGTAGGCTCAAGTGGTACTCATGCCGTCTGTGTATGTGCCATCCATCAGAATGCCATTCTTCTTGCTGATGCTACGAAAACTGGACTGACATACAAGGATCTAATAAACATGGTTGTTTGCGATAGTGACAATAGAATGTGCATGTTACACTGTTGCCCTGCATGTCCAGGGAGTGAGGTTCTCAAGACATTTCTGGAAAGTCACTTATCAGATTTTGATGATGAAGTAACTTTTCAGCAGTGGCAGAGTACCGATAGAATGGACTTAATAAAACAATCATTAGATGTGGAAGATTTTGTGGAGTTAGTTATTGAAGCGATTGACAATTTGACCTCACACTCCTTTATTGCCAGACGCCAGGGAAGGTATTTGAAAGACCGCAAAGAAACTTTGGAAACTGATTCAGTACTAGTCCTTGGTGACTTTGCCGAGAACTACACATTTGTTGTTCAGGACGAAGTGCAATCGTATCATTGGAATAAAAGCTACTGCACAGTGCATCCTGTTGTTGTTTATTACAAAATGGAAAATGAACTTTCACATCAGTCTTTTTGCTTTTTATCAGATGACTTGGAGCATGATACAAATTTTGTGTATGCAATTCAACGTGAAATATGTACTTATATCAAAGAGAAGATGCCCGGGATACAAAAAGTTGAATATTTTTCAGATGGCTGTGCTGCACAGTATAAGAACTTTAAAAATATGCTAAATTTATGTCACCATGAAAATGATTTCAAGCTACAAGCAAGCTGGAGCTTTTTTGCCACTAGCCATGGGAAATCTGTCTGCGATGGAATTGGTGGCACCGTAAAACGCTTGACTGCAAATGCTAGCTTGCAACGGTCACTATCAAATCAAATTTTAACTGTATTTGATATGCTGACTTTCTGCAAAGATGCAATGAGAGATATTAAATTTCAGTTGATTACAAAGGAGCATATGGTTGTAGTTCGTAAAGACTTACAGGAGAGGTTTGCTACTGGTAAAACTATCCCAGGTACAAGAGGTTTTCATTTCTTTTGTCCAATGAACGCAAGCACAATAAGTTTTAAACGAACCTCAGAAGATGAGGAGTTTGCTGGCGAGTTTATATTTGCTAAACAAGAATTAAAAAAGGTATGCATACCAACTAGACAAGAATTTGTGGCATGCAAGTATGACAAATTATGGTGGATTGGAGTGGTAGAAGAGATTAATGATGAGGAACAGGATTGTAAAGTCAACTTTCTACACCCACCTGGCCCAACACGAAACTTCCATTGGCCGAAAAAAGCAGACACTTGTTGGGTGCCATATACAGACATAATATGCCCTTTGAATGCCCCAGTCACAGTAACAGGGAGAACATATAACATTTTGGAGAATGATTTTCAGAACATTGTGACTAATTTTGTTTAATCATTAATTGTATATTTTCCAAAACACTGAAATAAGTATCCTATAGTAAGATTAAATGTGATTTGAATTTTAGAAATTGTGTGGACTAACAACAAATTTCTTAAATTATTTACCATATATTATAACCAGAATCAAGCAGTTTATAAGATGTGTGTTTTGTAAAAGGTGGCAATGAAATAGAAATCCAATAAGCACCATTGAATTATGATTTAACTTTATGTGTTTCCTGGAAAGCTAGTCTGCATTATTTCTTATCACTTTACCAGCTATACAGAAGCAAAAAATAATGTAAAGTATTATAGACAAGGTATTTCAAAATGTTAAAACCAGAAAAAAACAGCCCCTGGTGTGAAATTTCTTATAAAAGCAATTTGGTAATCATCATAATCATAACCAAAATTGCCAAAATGAACATTTGATTTCCAGTTATTATATTCTGGCACTCTTTCATATACAAACAAAGGGTTTAATCCTTTTTGATAGATTCAGGTGTACTGAATTTGAAAATGAACTCCAAAGTTCCATATCATATCATCTACATCTCCATTTTTGGGGTTCTTTGAGCCCTGGTTCGCAAATTTTGCGAAACAACTTGTCATGCTTCAAGGTCAAAATTTTCAGCTTTCTATAATCTACAGCTAATAACTGTTAGCATTTTTGAAATCAGCACATTTGATTACCCTTAGCTATCAATTTTCAAGGATATATGACTATTCTATCAAATTTTAGAGGCATTTATACATAAACCGGTACGGTTAAAAAGGACGTCGCTGAAAATTTAATGCCTATCAAGGTGCGGATTTGAAAATCCTCTAGTTCAGGAACCAATCAAGATATAGAGCTGAAATTTGGGGTTTTTCTATATTTTGTTCATACCTTCATATGTACCAAAAATGAACAAAATCTGAGATGGTGGGTTACATGACCATGCTGTTTTGACATGGAATGACCCGGGATCATTTTTCAAAAATGATTTATTCAGCATATGTGCCCTTTTGTATGCATGAAGAGTTACAACTATAAGAGTCAGAATTTTAGATTTAAATTTCTTAACCAAGAGGATATGTTTAAATAGGAACAAAATGTGACAAAATATGAACAACACTGTTAGTTCTAGCATTTTCTCCTATTTTGATACAGCAAATGTTTCAAGCTGAATTGAAAACAAAAACTGTGGTTTATATAAATGTATCACCAAACGTGGATGTAAGCAATGGTTGCAGCTGTTTTGATCAATTTGAACAGTCATTATATGTCAAGGCCAATATATGTAAATATTCTGTGAGCTTTAATCAAATATGCAATTTAGAGAAGTGTGTAATCTAAGTATGATAAGGAACTATCATTTTATTACAGAAAGAAAAACATTGACTTGAAATATATTTATCCTTTTTTAGATGGGTCCATTCTTGCAAGGCTGACTAATATCCTAGTTCTGCAATACATAAGGATAAATACTGGTGGTAGACCATTAGAATTTTTTTTTACCAGACAAAGATAACTTATTGTGATTTTGTGAGGCCAAATGCAGGGAGAAGAAGTTTCAAGGTTCATTACGAATCTTTTACAAAGTACATTTTTTTCAAAACAGAATATAATTTTTCCTAAATCCTACTAAAATCATTAAAAATTGGAACACATTTCAAATGTGAAATGAAAAAGCAAATTGGGATATGCTGAATAAATGTTGTGTAAACATTTCTTGAATGATGTGTTGATGATATCGCCAGTTTAGCAAATGTTGGTGGCCCCATCTGAAACTCATCTATGACCTACATGGACCTGCAGTTCACCAAAGATCTTTTAAGTATCTTTCAAGACATCAAAAAATTCTAGGTCAAAGTCTTGAGACACAAAAATCACCAACTTCTTTATGTGGCAGGAAGTGACCAATTAATGAGCTTAAGGTCATGTCATTGACATTATAGAATTACTAAGAAAATATATCACACTAGCATTGAGTTAAAATCAAAAGAATTACAGACAAGGTCATTTTCTCTTTGTACTCAATTTATAACCAAACCTGTAGAGAATTCAGATGCTAAATGTTTTTCAAAATTTTGATTGCATTTCTTTAACAGATTTAAATGAAGAAATATTTTCCATTGGTTCAATGTCATGTGACAATGTTTCATAGTTTGGCTGTACCATTAGAGAGCCTGCTCTCTTCCACTCTGCAGAGTATGGCCTTTTTTCACAAGGTCTCTGAAATGCACGTTCATTTCAGGCATGACTTTCACAAAAATTTTGTTTTACCTAGCAAATGATAGGCATACACAAGTATCTATAATTGTCCTATTGTAAATTGGGTTTGCAATTTAAAATTTTGCCAAATGAAAAAATAGCAGAATACACTACCATCATATTTAAAAAATCACTGACAATAAAGGATGAAATCAGTGGGGTTAAAACTTGATAAAAGGCTCCCATATGATGTTTGTTGAGAGGAGAGCTTTCTCCTTTAGGTCACATTTTCCTTTGGCAAATATTGTTCAAAGTTATCCTGAATTTGCCCCATGCTTTGTTAGTTGGAAATATGTTCTAGTTGTGCCTAGTTATACAACAAAACATGGGTATTTGTTAGTTGTATAGTTATACAAGGGTTTACCTACTTTTTGTATCATATTTTGTAATATAAATAATGACATATACAATAATAATTAATGATACACTATGATACAGCATTGTTAAAATCTATCAACTATAGCTTTACATTTCCATTTTTAGCAGTATACCTGCCCGGTTTTTTCCACTGCCTCTTTGGGAAAAATTCCTACCAAATTGTAATCATCGCAACAGAGCTTACAAAACAACCCTTCAGTTTTCATCTTGTGGAATTTTCAATAAACAAATTCGAAATGTGTAAACAAACATTATATTAAGAATTCGTTGCGTTAAATCAGTAAATAAAAATATATGGAAGACGATACGATTGTAAATTCAAAGACTGCTAAGATATAGTTAAGCGTTTATTCCTAACGTTAACAAAACATTAAGCTGTCTTTTTTGGAAAGAAGATGCAAATGGGCCTAGGCAAACAAAGAGTCGGTTACCTTCAGTTCGTGATAGTCGATGGCATTGTCTTTATCAGTATCGAACAAGTCAAATGCTTCTCTGATTTCTTGCTTGTGTTCTTCGCTAAGCTCTCTCCTTTTTGACTTGGAACGAGCCTTACTAAGCTCTTGTGTTCGTAAAGACAGGCTCATCTTATTTTCCGCGATTGAAACTCCCGCGTCGATCTTTGAGCATTTGAATTAAGAACAACGCTCTCTTTATTTGAAGTACTTTGATTTACAGTCATCTGTTCGACCGGGGGGTTGTCAAACAAACTCGTTTGTTCAAACTATGCTGTGTTCTTGATATAACATCATTATTTGGAGGAAGCAAAAACCCGCAAGAATTAACATGCAGAGGCGTCCTAACAAAATAGGAACGACGACTTGCCCTGTTTTCTTCAACAGGAAATTCCTAAAATGTATTGGAGCAACAGCTTCGTTTGATTTGGACATTCAGATGTTTAGGTATTTTGGTGGTTACACCACAGTTATCGAAACTTTATCATATTGGGTACACCGAAATAACATGAGTGTAGCATGGATTGGGAAAGAGCACAAAATATACTTTTGATTCACACTTTTTTCGATAAAAACCTGTAAATTTATGTTCAGGCTGACTATTTTTAATTTTTCGAAAATCTGAGGCTGGATTGTTTTTAGGTTGTTCTTGAATTAACAGAGTGTAAGTAGTGCGATTGCTTGCTTTTTCGCTCTATGAAGGTGTTCAGGCCTCATTTGCCAACAAAGTGAATGAGATAGCTCTCATTTTCCGACAAGTTTGAATATTCACCGAAAAGCACTCACACATGGCTAAAAATCCTTCTTTCTGAGATAAACCGTTGTTCATAATTGTATTTAGCAGTAGCTCAGGACCAGCTTGTTCTTAATCTGTTCTTAATTTTGGGCTTGTGTTCTTATAAAATTGTCTTTATAAAAAAAGATTGTAGTGAGTCATTGAGGATTCTAGCGTAGCGTTTCTTAGCACAGCCTTGGGGCATGAGCACCCGCAGACCTTCTCCAGAGGCCACGCCTACATCATTATAATACACCAAGGATAGGCATAAAGATATAACGGTGTATCTGTTGCGAAATTTTTTTCTTTTCTTTTTATTCATCATGAGAATTATAACGACGAATTTACTTACGAAGGAACTCACAACTTATGAAGTTATTTTCCAAAATTGCAAGTACGATACTATATACCGTGTGGGTGCCAGAATCTCCATTTTTTAGTCTCAGATATTAAGTTAGAAACTTATCACAGAAATATCCCAGGATTCACGAGGCTCTGGTACCCAGGGTGAATACTAAGGGAAGCAAAATATCACAACTAGCCCCAAGGCCATTAAGTAAAATGTGAAACAAGCGATAATAAGCAAATATATATAAGGAGAGAGAAAGATAGAGATGAAATCTTTGCGCGTTTCTAAAATCCATAGAATCATAGTACAGTGAAACCTATCTAAGGCGGAAACTTTTGGAACTCGGTTTAGGTTTCCGCTTTGGCAATGTGTCCACTTTAGGCAGATGTCAGCTTTAGCTGGGTGTCCGCTTTCGCTTTTGACAGGTGTCCGCTTTTAACCAGGTGTCTGCTATAGCCAGGTGTCCGGTTTACAGAAATTATGACGGCATTTTTAAGCTCTCGTCAGAAGAAGGTTATCGGTTAGATTGTGTCAAATTAGAATGAAAAAATCTGCATTCACGTTCAGCTTCTATGAATCGAAGTTGAGCAGATTCAATAGCAAAAATAGAATTCCACAATCTTACCCGTGATTAAGTCTTTGCGCATACACGGTCATATTCCATCAACTTCGATCGAGTTTACTTTTAGTTCGTTGACCTGGCTAAGTTGGAAAGAGCTATCGATTTCTGCAATGATCTCTTGAGATAACATTTATCTTTGCCAAGATTCGGCCTCAATTATTACGTGCATGACATGACAGAAAATATTTGCATGAAGAAACTAACTTACAACAAAAGCACTTACAGGAAAAATAGAAATAGGCTTTAAATTTGTTCTGACAGTTTTGGGCTATCACATTCTCCCACCCCAACTTGCTGAGAACCCCTTCGTATTCATTTACATTCTCGTTTGATGACACTTCATAAGACAAAGAAAGATGGGATCTTTCCACGGTAGTGTCAAAATTCCCAAACAAAGTGTGAAATAAAATGTTAAGCCATCTTCAGCTTCAAATTTCCTTAGAATTTTGAATACCCCCGGATCGTTTCACGCGAGGAGCTTCTCAATTCAACTACAACTACAACTACACAACTTTACAGGTAAAAACAGATGTGCACTGAAAACCGTCAGTCATGATAATTTAACGCATTGCGATCTTGAAAAAAGTCACGTAATATGACAAGAAATTTCACGAATTCTATTTTTGAAAAATTTCAACCGATTCCAAAAAATCGACAGTTCTTTGCGCTAGTACACAGTTCTTTGAGTTACTTGTTCGCTATTTCGTGTTGTACCCTCGCTCGTACTTGCTCAGAAATAGACAACAGCAATTCATTAGAAAGACAGCTGGATCTTATACGTTGAAATTCATACGTTAGGCCTTGTTTCGTCAAAGACATTCGGAAGATAATTTCTCTATATTTCGAAGAAAACGATCCTTTTGGATACGCTCATTTTTTATAAGAATGCTAAAAAAATTCCCAGCCTCTATATTCTTAATAAAGTTTCGCTTTGTGCCTGGAAGTATTCATAAAGTATTGTCTTCTTTTTCAAATCTGATATGATTTCAGGGGAACATCGCCTGCTCTCGAATAGTTTTGCGATTCCCTGTTATGAACATCCAGGCAACTGCTGGAAAATGAGACACCAGAAAGAGACACAAGTATGCGAGCTGAGACTGAGGACTGTTCTTAAAATTTTCTTCAAAATTGGATGGTTCTGAGTATGAATATTCATATATTCAATATTCTTATAAAAACAAGTCTAGTTGATCCATGGATTTAGAGTTTGCCTTTGCCTGAATTAGAAATATCTTGAGATTGCCTTTGCTGGTATCGAAACTAATTGCATATTGCTTTTCTGATCTGATGAATCTTCTGTTTGCTACTTTCTAACTGTTAAAGCTAATTTATCATCATTATCAATCTTGCTCTTGCAACATAAAGCATCTTTGTAATAAAGACTGGTATTTACGTATTCTGGTATTTACAATAACTTATGAGATAAAGGTATACGTCATTATGAAAAATAACAATTTTTTAACATTTATGTAAAGGTGCTTGATAAAGTGGCAAAATACGGTCTTATAATAAACTCGTATCTTACATGTGGGATTTTACTAAATTCTGACCTCTTTTACAAATGTTTCAATGCTTATTAGCATCCTTATTCAATGAAGAAAAGTCTTACATAGGACTTAAACAGCACGCAATAATTATGAACAACTCGTACTATTTTCAACAAAAATCGAAATATTTTTGCTTGAAATTTGCTCTCCTTAGCAATCCACAAATAGTGTATGCTAAAATTGACAACGTTATCCACTAAAGTTGTATTTACGCCACTATTATCTAGAGTTTGTTGATATTTTTCTACTTTCACTAAATGTGATTGCATGAAAACATTATTCTATGATCATACTAAACTTTGGTTGTAGTCGTGAATAAAAGCCTCGTTTGCACACGATAAAACCAGTGTACACGCCTCCCCCTGGAACAAACGAACATTTACGATGTTTACAAATTCATTATTGTCAGCTGCTAGTTGTTTGTTATTCAAAGACAAATCCACTGTTTTGTGTCGCAAGTTTAACATAGGAAGTTAATATTTTTCTGAAAAAGATGAAAACTTCTCCGATTGAATAACTTGTTTAATAATGACTTTGTCTCTAACAGCCCTTCTTAATCTTACCTCAAACATATCGAGGATACCAAAAACCAAAATGAAAACATGACTCTTAGTTCAGCTTTATATTTTCTGGAGAATCTTAACACTTTTGTTAATTCATAAAGTTAATTCGTCAAAAGATGTCTCCAAAGGCTCAAACCTTTTTATAATGGGTTGAAGAAGTATCTATCTTACAGTGTAAATTGGCACACGTTACTCAAAGATGTTCCAATCATTTCCTTTAACCATTAACCAACATTCACAGGGTGAATCATAGTTATTGGTCTTCACTCGGGTGTTCAACTCTAGAATAGGGTTCAACCGTTCATATGAAAGAATATGATATTAGAATGTTCGGAACAAGGAAATTTTAAACAAGCTTAATAAGGGCTGTAGTCAACCATTTTTCCGTGAATCCATACACACCTATCAGACTTTTCTCCGAAAAATTTGTATCTTTGCAAAAGAACCGTACCTTTTCAGTATGAAAATAACGTAATTTCTAACAAAGTTTTATGGGCGTTTTGTGGAGCATTTTTTAATGGAGAGAAGCTTCTTGTTGCCTTGGCTTCAAGGGCAGTGTCCAAATCCATTTTTTTTCTAATTTGCCGGTAAGATTAGAGATTTGCCAACTAAACATTCCACTATAGCGACGAGCTTGGTAACTGCTATAATTGGCAGCTGTTCAGGCCCGTAGACACTGTGGGACAAACAATGCCCCCCAATTATTTGCGAAAATTGTGTTTGAGGGTCTTATAAGCGCAGCTTGATCTGACAGTATTTCGTAAGGCAGGGATAGAAAAAGCTATTCATGCCCCCTCCTCTAATCCAGTTTAGCTGTCTACGGGTCTGCAGCTGTTGAGATTTTCAAAAAGGCATCTCTCAAATATTATGGGAAGTTATCTTTACAATATCAGGTCTATACCAGGATTTTTGTTGACACCAAAACTTCTACTTCTAGATACTCTGGATCCCAGAGACTTCCAAATCTCTGCTCCATTCTATTTTATCTTTTCCCTTCCATTGTGTATTGTAAAAGGCCTGATTATGCTACTTCGGCTTAGGTATTTTTGCTCCTCCAAACAGCCTCGATTATACAGATTGTGAAAACAAGATGAAATTTCATGCACCTACTCGGTTTGATACACAGGAAAAGGTAACATTCAAACCCTGACTTGAAGCTGCATTTGAAGGCTATTTTTAGACTCAATTGCTATGACCTAGTCCCACAAAGAGGGCATCAATCACAACTTCGCCAGAAGAAATTATAAAGTGCTGGATAGGTGCATAGTTTCATGCACTGACTTTTTATAAACCTGCATGCCTCTTATAGAAGCTGGCCCATTTGAGGTGTAAGGCTCGTTGATCCTAT